CTCTCTCTCTCTCTCTCTCTCTCTCTCTCTCTCTCTGTGAGTGTCCGCAGTTCTCAGCTCATCAGCAAACAAACACTTGGTTGCCTAGCAAAATGTCTTCAAGGGTAATAAATAGCTTCCTCTTTTCCTTCCTCTAGTTTGTAGACGATGCTAACACGAGCACTGTTGTTTGTTTTGGTGGGATGTTGTTCTGTGGTGAGTAACTATGTGATAGCATATTATCCTTCCGCATTGTTTGAAGCCCCGAAGAGCGTTCTCGTCGCTAGGGCACCGCCTTTCTTGAGTGAGGCGGTGTTGTTGTTAGTGCTGTTGTAGCCCTTGATGTTGTTGCAGTTTCTGTTTTTGTTGCTGTTGTTATTGGTGGTGTTGTTGTAGTTATTGTTGTTGTTGATCAATGGGTTGTTTGTGGGTGCTACGGTACAGTTTGCTCATTTTGTCCAATGAAACACCTATCTTCCGTTTCTCCTTTTCCATGCATTTTACTATCTTGCAAGATCTCTAATCTTCGACACTTATTATGTTACCTAATGTACTATGTGGCAAGCGCGGTAAAACTACACGTGTCACTCCCCCCCCCCCTCCATAAATGGAAACAAAATGAAAGTTAATTAATTGATTAATTGATTAATTAATAGAGAAAACCAAATGAAACACCTACCAAAAGGTTAATGATCTAGTTATAGTCCGGACAACACCAGGGGGCTCTCGTGGCCTAGAGGTTAAGGTGTTGGCCTCTCATTCAAAAGGTCCCGGGTTCGAATTTGGGTAGCGACAGAAAAACATTTCTTCTCTAAATTTGTCTCCTTTCACCTATTTCCTGCTCTCTAGCAATGTTCTGTCGTCTGCTTTCGTCTCCTCCTTCTGCCCCCACCCCTCACCTCCTTTGCCCCTTCCTCTGGGCTCCTGATTCTTTCTGCAGCCTTTCTACTGCTACTCCTTCGCTTCTTCTTACTGCTGTCTTTCAGCCACACCCCTGATCTTCTGGTAGAAAAGATCTACACCTAGCCTTCTCGGACAAGGGCGAAAAATCTCGGAGGGCCCGTGTGAAAGTTGTGCACGTTAAAGATCCTTTGGTGGTCTAAAATCGATAAGAGTAGGCTTCGGCCGCCACCCGAGCAAAATTCAAAATTTCCTACCAACTGAAAATATTAAGTGTGTCCCGCGCGCTCATATGGCCTTATGCAGTTGCGAGCGCCGTAAAACACTTTACAAAAACAAAAACAGGACAACACCAAATGGACAACTTGTCGACCTCATTACACAGAAACTAAGTGGCGAATTGTCCTGATTTTTGGCATGTGCCTCTGACTTCCAAACAAACCTAAAAAGATCTCAATTTTCGTGCACATGTGACAAATATAAAGAGGTGTTTTTTATATAATCATTAGGATGTAATAACAGTCCTGCGCATAGATTTTTTTATTAGACCAAGTGCGGTAGTTAAGTTCTAGTTTTTTGTTTGTTTAAATCTATTTTCTTTTTTTTTTAACCTAATGCATGAGCCGCAAGTATGAGTTGTTTTCAGTTCAGCGGTTAGTTGGTGACAGCGGATTTATTTTGATTGACTCATTGTGATATACAACGAGTAAAATTTCTTTCATATCTTCCGTCATTGAGATTGCATGCGTTTCAATTTGCTGTCGCTTTTTCATGTATCCCCATGGTTAGATTACTTAATTTACACCCC